TCCACGCAAGCCAGGCGCTAGGCTAGTGGTGCATCACATGAATGCAAAGCTGACGCTGAATCAAACCTTGGGAGAGCAAGGGATTGTTGGAAAATCGGCAATGCTGTCCTGCACTTACATACCAACAAATGTGTACACTGCATGGTGTTATGTCCATGGGCTCACGACTTGTGAGAGAGATTTGGTGCTAGGAGGTGTTACACAACTTGACCGAGCAGTGCCTGGAGAGTATTTACATCATCTACCCGGCAGCCTTGCAAAATTGAGTCTTGATGGTAACTTCAACCAAAGCCTGGAGCGGGTGACCTTTCCATTGAGTCTTCAAAGCATGACTTTTGGCTACAGGTTCAACCGAAGCCTGGAACGAGTGACCTTGCCATCGAGTCTTCAAAACTTGAGTTTTGGCTATCGTTTCAACCAAAGCTTGGAGCGGGTGACCTTGCCATCGAGTCTTCGAAGCTTGAGTTTTGGGTTTGAGTTCAACCAAAGCCTGGAGCGGGTGATTTTTCCATTGAGTCTTCATAGCTTGAGCTTCGGCGAGGATTTCAACCAAAGCCTTGAGCGGGTGACCTTGCCATCGAGGCTTCAAAGCTTGAGTTTTGGCTACAGGTTTAACCAAAGCCTGGAACGAGTGACCTTGCCATCGAGTCTTCAAAGCCTGAGTTTTGGGTTTGAGTTCAACCAAAGCCTGGAGCAGGTGACCTTGCCGCTGAGTCTTCAAGGCTTGAGTTTTGGCGAGGATTTCAACCAAAGCCTGGAGTGGGTGACCTTGCCATCGAGGCTTCAAAGCTTGAGTTTGGGCTCTGAGTTTAACCAAAGCCTGCAGCGGGTGAAATTGCCATTGAGTCTTCAAAGCTTAAGCTTTGGCCCTGAGTTCAACCGAAGGCTGGAGTGGGTGACCTTTTCATCGAGTCTTCAAAGCTTGAGTTTTGGCTTTGAGTTCAACCAAGGCCTGGAGAGGGTGACCCTGCCATCGAGTCTTCAAAGCTTGAGCCTTGTCAATCGTTTCAACCAAAGCCTGGAGCGGGTGACCTTGCCACTGAGTCTTCAAAACTTGAGTCTTGGCAATATGTTCAACCAAAGCCTCGAGCGAGTGACCTTGCCATCGAGTCTTCAAAACTTGAGTTTGGGCAATATGTTCAACCAAAGCCTGGAGAGGGTGACCTTGCCATTGAGTTTTCAAAGCTTGAGTTTTGGCTGGACCTTCAACCAAAGCCTGGAGCAGGTGAGCTTGCCATCGAGTCTTCAAAGCCTGAGTTTTGGCTTTGCGTTCAATCAAAGCCTCGAGCGAGTGACCTTGCCATCGAATCTTCAAAGCTTGAGTTTTGGCTGTGGTTTCAACCAAAGCCTGGAGCGGGTGACCTTGCCATCGAGGCTTCAAAGCTTGAGTTTTGGCGATCTATTCAACCAAAGCCTGGAGCAGGTGACCTTGCCATCGAGTCTTCAAAGCTTGAGTTTTGGCGATGGGTTCAACCAAAGCCTGGAGCGGGTGACCTTGCCATCGAGTCTTCAAAGCTTGAGTTTTGGCGATCTATTCAACCAAAGCCTGGAGCGGGTGACCTTGCCATCGAGTCTTCAAAGCTTGAGTTTTGGCTTCTATTTCAACCAAAGCCTGGAGCGGGTGATTTTGCCATCGAGTCTTCATAGCTTGAGCTTTGGCAATATGTTCAACCAAAGCCTGAAGCGAGTGACCTTGCCATCGAGTCTTCGAAGCTTCAGTGCCGGTTCTCCCAGCAGCTATGTGTCGTGTGTTGGACACAGTCATATTGAAGAACAATCTTAAATGCAGCTTTCCAAGCAAAACTCGGGTGCTTGAGGCGACGACCATGGAGTAGCAACTAAAACTGATGTAAAAAATCACCCAGTGAACTCCAGTAATCTAACCTGGAATCTAATCAGTAACCCAGGCAGGAATCCAATCAAGCAACAGAAATCTCTGTGAAGTCTGTGAACTAATGTAACTAATACTGTATAGTATAGACAACTCATCCATAATTTGCGGCTTTTTCATTGCCAAGTTTGAGAACCATGATTTCCTTCAAAAGATGATCGACAAAGATATGAATTTAAGGGACGGAGCTACCAACTAGACCACACTTACATGACCTTGCAAGTCTTTGTCGTTGGGGAGAAGTTGACCCCAGGCCCCTTGGATGTTTTTCTTGTGACGGAAGACCATCAAGTGGTGGATTTGCCACCTGTACGGCACCAAGCCAAACTCAGCTGTGACATTGGCCGCTGGCTTTTCGCCGCAGCGAATAGCGAAAGGTAGGGATGGATGGGGCGTAGACGCAGCTGTCGCTTTGTTGAGCCGAAGATTCTTCGTGGTTCATGGCCTTGAGCTGGTATTATGCCTGTTTTCATTGGCTAGGCTGCCACCCCCATGTTTGATAATGTTTGATGGTACAATCACAAAACCATTGTTGGATTTTTGCACACTGTTGTGTTTCTACAACTCCGATGCCATCAGCTTGATGAAACTTCTTCTCAGCTTCCTGCCAGGGGCCATGGGCAGTGGCGGCGACTTCGGCAAAGGATCTTTTCCGGATGAGTGGACCACAAATTGAAGGCCCTCAAACCCTCAATATTTTTTTTACATTTTTTTTGTTGGTAGATGTTGGTAGTGAATCATCGCATTTTTGGCTAACCCAATTTTGAGGCCTCATAAGCATATCTCCTCCACTAGGTCACTAGGTTTCTGATGGGAATATCCAAATCTTTTAGTCTCTGTCCAAACATCAGATTGATCAGATTGTCAAATGTGGATCAACCACCAACAAAAACATCAAAATACACTAAATACATATTTTTTGGTCCTGACTCGATGGACCCTATGGAGTGTTGACTCTCTGTATTTTTTGCATCTCAGAAACCTCAGTTTCGACCCGTCCTTAAGCATGTAGGATCCTTGGCCATATCCCGAATTCCTGATGTTATCCTGCATACAAGTATAGCTTTTAAGTGCCCATAACTTTGCCACCATGATTGCAACTCACCTAGGAACTTGGTCATCTAAGTAGCCAGGAGGGCCCCTGTTTTTGGGTTTCAGATAGCATGGCATGGCCTCTCCATTTGCGCTGGCCCAGTTCTGAGATTTGCAGGAAAGGGCAAGGGGAAGAAAGGCAAGGGCAAGGGCAAGGGCAAGGGCATTTAGTTTCTGACTGGCAGTTATTACTGATAGTCCGAAGTGTCTTGATTTTGTGTATAGACCGTGAAGGATTTTAGAATATCTCATAAAAGTTTTATCCTCTGCGAAATCATCTATAATCAATAAGCAACTGAATAACTTGGTCATTTTCATTTTCTTCTGATACTCTATGACTTTGTGCTGTGTGTCTATGATATGTTGTAATGCTTCGGCATTATATTCATCAAATAAGTATTGTTCTTTTTTATTATCAATTTTTAACTCTTTTTCAATGTATTTTATTACCTCTTTGTATGCTTCATCTATGTGAGCGGTTGGGGATACAATGTATATTCTCTCAAAGCATCCTCTGTATATTTTCAGAATAAGGTTCTGAATTAATATACCCTTACCGCCTTGACTGGCACTAACAATAATTGACCTAAACGGCAGTTTATCCGCTTGTGGGTATTGAGACTGTTTAAACTCATACTGCTTTACATTGATTGGTTCTATCTTAGGTATGTCAAGTTTTTTCATAATATAATATATTTAAGAAATAAATTTATAATATAAATTGTAGTGGCATATCTTATCTTGCTGGAATAAGGGGTCGCAAGGTTTGGAACAGACTGCCATTTACCTGCCATACGAGCATCAGGACTGTTAATTCAGTTCCCCGCAACAAACAGTTGAATATGTGTCTTACTTTTGAATTAGTTTGATGCCATGCTTTTGAGAGAACCCGCGCCCCAACCCTGTTCTCTTTCATTTACACAAGCGCAAGTATAATTAGAACATAGCAAAACTATTTTCTAATAGTAATGGTTGTGATTGATGATGAAGAGATAATTGAGAATATAGAAACCCTGATTGATGACGCTTCGGACGAAGTCCTCGCGAGCATTCGCGACACTAAATTTCCTGTGGAAGATGGTAAGATAAAATGTTTTATTCATTATCTAATCAATAATATTAAGGATGCCTCCGAAAAAGAAAAGCAGTAAATCCAAAAAAAATATTCCAGAGGATTTTGAACTGTCTGATGATGAACCCAAAATGGTAAGTTTAAGTCAGGAACAAAAACTAACAAGCAAACATATTATCTTTGATTGCCCTTTATGTCAGGGAAAATTACAGTTGAGGAACGAAATTGAAATCAACCCCAAAGGCATAACCTGTCGTTGTAATCCGTGTAGTTTCAAAATGACTAAAAATGATAAGACTATGAATGTCAGTAAGGATGATGAAGGGGGGATTACATTGGATAGTCAAGACCACAGCATCTCGTTTGCTTTCAATCGAATTACTACTCCTCCAACAGAAGATGAAAGATATAGAAATGATATGATAAAAGATGTTATGAATACACCACGGAACAGCAAAAAACAGATGATGTCTGAAATGGATTGAAACGAAACCATTTAAAGAGTAGTTGTTCTATCAACTCCAACTCATAAATAAATAATTAAATATATTAATTTCTAAATAGATAAATAAATAAATAGTAATGTCAAGTGGAGATGAGAGCAAGACTGAAATGAAAGAGTTGATGGATAAATTCAACAAATACGCTAAACAGGTGAAACTGGTTCTGGCAAAACTTGAAGAAATTGACAAGAAAATAGGACAAAACTATTACTACTTAGATGATGATAAGAGGGGTTATTTACGCCACAAATTGTGAAAGGTGTAAGGCTTGTTCATGCTGATGTGTTGTTGCTTCCAGTGCTTGCCATCACTGTCGTTAAGGCTCAACAATATCAAACTGCACTGCGCTGATGCTTCAAGTAAGATCATGATTCAAAGTCAGGAGGAGTAAGAGCTGTGGCAGGAATACGAGCTGTTGCTTTTCAAGACTTTTGTTGTAGCAATGGTTGCCTTGCGCAATGCTCGTGTTCGGCGCTATGTCCTTCTTTGCCATTTCTTCTGCTTTTGGCATTTCGCAGCGCGAACCTTACAGTTCTCTGCCCTGCCGCCGAATACAAAGCTGTTGAAGGACGCGGAGCACAATGAGATGCCAAACTGGATTCGTGAGCAAATGTGTGATTTGGGGTATGATAAAGGCGTCTCAGACAACATGGCCGAGGCGCTCTCATTTTACAGCCCTTCGGCCTTGGTGGAGGCTTCTCGAGAGAGTTTGCTGGGTGCGCTGCAACAGACATTCCCAAATGATGCACAGCGGATGATCATGGCCCAAAGCCTTTATGACCGCATTCAGAAGGGCATTTCCCAACCACAACCCGTTTCTCGGCAAAGATTGGTTTTAGTCGTAGCCCGAGTTCGTTGTGTTTTGTTTCTCGTTGATGTGAGACAGCGTTTATGTTTCTGTGGCTGCTTTGCTTGGTTTCAGGTTCAGAGCGATGTTCCCGAGAATGTCAAGGCCTTCGCACGAGCTTTGGATGATGCAGAGCTGGAAGGGCAAATTCTCAGAACGGAAACGGGCAGTTTCAAGTTGCAAAACGTTTCTGAAATTTGGGACGAGAAGCAGTTCTACGTGCGGGGGTGCTACACAGAAATTGCCGACATCATGTTGAAGAAAAAACTCCCCGTGATGTCGCTGCTGGGCTCGTCTGGGATCGGCAAGTCCAATTTTATGGTATATTGAATCTGGCGTCGCTTCCACGACAGTGAGCTTAAAGACTTCCCAGTTTTTCTGCACCAGAGGGACATCATCCATCTGTTTCAGAAGGGCAAAGAGCCCAAAGAGGTGGATGTCAAGACTTTGAGGTCAGCGCCTGCACAAGCTTTGTATATCATGGATGCCGACATTGATGTGGAACATGGGGTCTTTTGCCAGTCTTTGTGGATTACCTCTGCGCGGAGGCCGGAGACAGCGGCTTTCAACACCGAACATTTTAAGAAGGCCGAGCGCTTTTCTGGGCAGTGCTTTATGCCACCATGGACGTTGACGGAGATGCTGAGTGCAGAGGTCATGGCCTTACACAAGCTGAATGAGGAGGTTGTCAAGGAACGCTTCGGCATCTTTGGTGGCACTGCGAGGCTTGTTTTGGAGAGGGACGAGACAAGGGCAGAGAATGACAAGGAGAGGCTCGTTGAGGCCGTGCAGTCAGCAGATGCGCTGCAATCCCTGAAAGTATCGTCTGACATGAAAGCCATAAGCAAGACGACGCATTTGCTGGTGAAGATGCACCCAAAGCGGGAGTTCAGCTGGTTTGATGTGCAGTTGTCGTCTCCCTATGTTCGGCAAGAGCTGGTGAAGCAAAACAGAGCAAAACGAGCCCAAGCTCTTTGGGATCGTATTGATGATGGGATGATTACGGGCATCGGTTTTGCATTGTTTGAGGAAGAGTTCCACCAGTTCATGCAGGACAAGTCCATCGGCAAGTTCAAGCTCCGAGCCAGATGCTTGACAGCTGAGGGGAAGGGGTCTGATACAACACAGGAACTCCAAGGTGGTCTTGAAGGAGTGCTGATTTCGGGCAATCCCGCAGCAGACATCAAGGATGGCGAATACTACCAGCCGCAGAGCAAAAACTTTCCTGCCTTTGACTCATGGACCTCACAGGGCGTTTTTCAGCTGACGATTGCCGATACACATGACATCACCTTCAATGACAGTGGCAAGGCAATGGACGTGACGAAGACGCAGGCGTCTAAGATTGTGGATGCACTTTGCAAGAAGCATGACAGCAAAGCCAAATTCTTCTTTGTCGTTCCGCAGTTTCAGTTTGATAAGTGGAAGACTGTGCAGACAGTGAAACAGCCAGAGATGGCTGAGAAGATTGAGCAATGGGTCGTGTGCTTTGAACAGAACCTTCCGAAGTGAAGTGGAGCAGCGCGCTCGTGACCAAAATGAGGAAAGTCCGACATCCCCCAGTTCGGGGTTATGGGTTTTTGGGTTTTTTCTATTAGGGTCTTACCCCACACCTCATTAGGATATTGGTTGTAGAATGGACAAGGTTATGGGGTTGGGAGGTTCTTATGTTTTTTTTTTTGAAATATTGTTTTCTATGAGGGAGACCTTGCCCCCTAATTCTATGATGGTTTGTTGTTTGTATTTTGATTGGTTCATTGAATATTTTTTGGCATGGATTATTCAACAATCTTATTGGTTGGTTTGTTGAATAATTTTTGTGATGGGGTGTTGTTTTGGTTTTGATGATTGCTTGTTGCTATGGTTTTGTTATTGTCTCGGTTGATTGATTACTCATTGGATTTTGGTTATGTCTTGGTTGTTCTGATTTATTTGTGTTGTTTGGTTGATTGATTTCTTATTGGTTTATGGGTATGCTTTGGTTGTTATGATTTGTTTGTGTGATGTTATGGGGGTTGGTTGCTTTGAAATGTTGTCTGTATGTTTGCGGTTGTGGAGGATGGGAAGATGGGCAAGGGCCATTCTAACTTATATATATATATATATTATACATATCATACCATATGACTTAAATTACGATCCAACCATTGAATCATTGAATCATTGTACATTTTTTGTTCAACTAGTGTTTCTTTTGTTTTGTTGTCAATGCTACTCCAATTGCAGATTGTCCGCACTTAGGTCGGTCAGATTTGGTTAAATCACACTTGTTGATGGTTGCATTCCCAGTTTTTGCCTATTCTTGCTGTTTAGATAATATTAGATAATCATCATTTTTGATGGTAAAATCACAATTTTGATGGTTTCTAAACGATAGTCCCTTCCCCCGAATACTAAACACCCCCCAGAAACCATGGTGGATGGCAGTGATGAATTCACACATTTGAGAACATAGAATGGGGGTGTTTAATAGGAACGGGGGGATGAGATTACTCCAACTTCGGAACACGTTGCGCGTCAGGCGCCTGCCGCAAAAGCCAGGCCTGCGACATTTGTGGCTGGAAATGCTTTGGGGTGATAGGACAGGATCCACTCGGGCTTTGCGATGGGAAACCCCCACAAGATTTCATATCTCTATATTTTGCAATTTATATGGGGTATATATATATATATATATATACACACACAATGTGTATGTGTATACACTGGTAGGACACAAGTTGCGCTTGTTGAGCTTCCGACAGTGAACATGTTTGATTTCTTCTTCTACACACCTTTTCCCCTAGAATCCTAGTATGGAGCTGTGTCGTACCCTGGTCGCATTTCCACCCTCCAAAAGCTTTAAATTCTTATAGATTTAAAAGAGGGTGATTTAAAAGAGGAACACAAAAAGGACTTGGAAACGTGATCCGCGGTTGACCGAGATGGATGTTTTGTAAAGATTTCAAGAAGCACAAACTTTGTTCCTCCTGAAGTATATATATATATGTTTGCATTAACACATTATTCTGTTGTAAGATTCTGATCGGGTACCTGCAAAAATCACCAAAATGAGTCAAACTGGTCCGTTGTGCTCCGACCGCAATGAATACCGGGTCAGCCATCATTTGGGCTTGCCTGAAATTTGCGTACTGTACTTCCAATTCCAAAGGATTAGATATCATCATTTTTCCCAGTATAGAATTGACATTTTGGGCAATCCCTTAAATTTTGGAGAGATTATGGTTTTACATCCCATCAAGGGTAGGGGTTTTGCACCTCAACAGTCGTCCACTTGGGCCCACGGCCCAGGCCCATGTGTTCGCTGCAAACGGGGCTCTGGGCCTTGATCGTTTTTACCGTCCTGGTGCGGGGCCTTGATGTGTCGCCTGGAATGGGATTTTGGGTCCATGATAAACCTCGAAACTTTGGGGAGTTGCAATTGGCTTTGCCACTAATCATTTTTCCTTGTTTTTTCATGTTTTTTCGACTTTGGCAGGATCATTGCAACCAATGCACAGAAGAATCTTACAAGGGCGCTCCCTTGTTTTTCCGACATTCATTTATATCATTTGGACATGGGTCATTGCTGCATATCCTTAAATGGCCAGCCTGCTCATGGGTCCTCGAATTACTTTGTTGCCGGGCCCGCTACTGTAGCCCTTTCACAGATGTGATATGACGGTTCTATCCAGAAATTTGGTTGATTGGATCCACATGTTGGTTGAATTGAATTGCCACCATAGTTGGTCAATGTCCCCATTCTTCTCGCTCAAAAATTAATTGACCCCCAATATCTGCATGTTCAGTGGTTCATTTCCCCAATTTTTTTGTTGGTTCATATCTCATCATACCCACTTACTTGTTGACTCAATCCATTTACCGAATTGGTTGTTGGTTCTACATCCATCCAAACTATCTGGTGCTAGGGAGCTATGGGTATCAGTTTTCCCTAAATGGGGAGCCAGTTGCAGCTACAAATTGAGTTTCCCAACCACATAATAGCTATAGATGGTAAATGATGGTAATATATCCATCATATCATATTACATATCCATTGTATACACCCATGATATCAATATAAAAACCATTATATGTCAATATAAGACACATTATATTAATATAAATGAGTACCACACCCATGAAATAGTAAGAGAAATAGACCACTTCTGTACCGGTACCCATGTTTTCTCCATTTTTTCTTCATGGGTGTCCGTCAGGTTGGTGGCTTCCTATACCTGCAACACCAGCGACTTGCAGAGGAATCCGCACCCAATGGCCAGGTGGGGATCGCTGCAACACAACTGGGAGCCGTGGATTGGTTCATTGGAGAATCTTTACCGGAAAACTGGAAAATTTTAACTGGAAACCATGGTTTTGATGAATCAAAGTTGGAGAACCCCTGAGGTTTTCACCGAAAACTATCTATTGAAATCTACTGTATTTTTTTAATCTTTGTGGCATGTTAAAATGGACCAAACCATCCCTTTTCGAGGATGAAACCCAAGAATCCACCATTACAAAAGGTTGAAGAGGGGGAAAAAACAACATCTGGGGTGCCAAAGGTTTGGAACCCTCACGCGCGTCCGATCTTGGTGTATGGTCTATGATGGGCTACAGGCAGCAAATTGGTAGATAGCATTCTTTTGGTTCCCCTTGGTAATAAAACGTGGCAATCGGAAATCCTCTATATATATATTTTTTTTAAAATGATGTTTATAATAGGAAAAACACTATAAATGGTTGACTTTTCATTGCTATGTCGGATTACGGGGTCATATATAGCAGGTAGAGATCGCAAGTAGAGTTCTCCTATGTTGTCCTGTCAATCAAGCCGTTAAGCCCAGCTGGGTTTCGAAGGGTTTCCCACTGAAAAAGCCAGGTTTTGTGCACCCACCACTTTGCAGCCTCCAGGGCTGGTGATAATTTTGGCCAGTCAGATCCTATTTGGGTGAACTCCCCATTTTTCCTGGTTCAATTCGACCTTTATCTGGTTGAATTCCCCTTTGGTCTGGTTTTTGAATGTGTGAAATCCAAATTCCTGTTGGTAGAATCATCATGTCTGTTGGTTCATATACATTTTTTTTTGGGTTGAATCCCATTTTTCATGGTAAAATCACAAGTTTTTTCATGGTTAACTCCCCATTTTTGCTTGTTTTTTTTTTGTTTGGCCTGGCCGTTGTGGACCCTGTCCCAAGCCGCTCCCAGAGTGGTCCTCCATGTAGGCGGCCTTGTCTGCCGCCGCGGCGGCCGTGATCAATGTGGCCTCGGAAGTGGGGTGCGTTGTGTATGGGTGGTTTGAGAAGTTGGGGAATATAGTAGGACTAAGAATGGGATTATAATGGGGATTAAGTTGGTTGGCATTGTGATGGGAAGTTGATAGGGAATATAATAAGGATTAGTAGGAATTACTGTAATAGGGAATATTAATGGGATTACATTGGGAAGTCAATAGGAATCCATGGTAAGTTAATAGGGATTAATGGGGAAACATCATGGGAACGGGGAATATCATGGGAAGTATTCATGGAAAATTGGGATCCAATAGGCATTACTGGGAAGTTAATAGGGAGTAATAGAGAATAGAATAGGAATATAACAGGGATGGGCGTATCAATGGAAAATAACTATTCCATGGATTCAGGCATTCATAGGAATATATAGGGAACAATGAAGGTTATTAGTGGAACAAGGGGATTTAACATTGATGGAAAATGAGGATTTCATATAGCGATTAATGGGAATTAAATGAGGAATATCATGGAAATATCAGTGCGGTGCAGTTGAGGTTGCTTTTATGGGTATAATATGGTATAATAATTGGAATAAAAACACAATAAGTTGGGACAACACCTTTCTAACTATGGTTCTACAACCACTTACTAACTGGAACTGCTCCAAGCACCCTCCGGTAATTTGACAGTTTGCAAACTGGAAGCCATGGCCGGTTTGGTTCGATGATTTTAGATGTAAAAAAATGGTGATTTTCCTGAGTGCAAAAGAGGCAAAATGCTGGTAGAACTTGAGGGGTTGGGGTCGGGGATAATGCACAATCCAAGAAAAGACATAATATACAACCGCAAAATGATGGGATTTCAACTTGCACAGACTGACATACTATTTTTCTAGCAAGAAGCCTGAGATGGAACCACGTGGATGACAATTATGACAATGAATTAAACACCTGATCCCCTTCTGTTCACATCAAAATAATAGCTGGTGTCCATGGAAAAACCATTGATCTATGGCCCATATCCCAATGCCATAAACCATCCCCAAGTCATCACCATTTCGATGTGTGGTATTCGAGACATCCCCAAATGGTCAGTTTATGGCAGCCAGGTTTTCCCAGATTAAATGCTATTCGCCATTTACAAAACCAAGAAATCAACCATGGTTAACCATTATTAACCATAATTAGCCATTATTAAACACATTCTTCACATCCCCACGTCCTGCCGAAGTCCCGTTGGCTGAAGTCCTTCTGCCCTCCAAAGACCGGCAGGCCAAAGAGGAGTCCCCGGCGCCA